CATTCCAGTATACAGTACTACTATCTCTCAAAAAATAACCTTCTACAACTTTTTCTTCCATTGAAGTTAATTTGATTCTGTTTGGGTTAGTGCACAACACTCTTCATCTGACCAGACACTATATCTCAAAACTAGGAATTTAAAAAGTCATCGTAGAAGATTACACACTGCAACAGATTTTTCTGGATGCAATACTGTGATTTATAGGAAAAATTGTCATTCAGATGACCAAATAAATATGTTTGATCATCCACAATTCCTGGCTCACAGCGTCCCAAAACCCTTAGAATTTCCTGAGTGATAAAAGTAATGGGATAGTAACTGGTTTCTGGTCCTCAGCTCCTGAAAACACTTCAGGGAAGGTGACTTTTGGATCCCACCCCGAGGGTGGGAGCTGGTTGCCAGGGGATTAGAGGGTTGGGACTTTCAGTCCCACCCACTATGCCACCCTGACCTCCAAGGAGGGGAGAGAGGCCAGAGATCGCCAGTGACCAATGATTTAATCAACAATGCCTATGTAATGAGGCCTCCATAAAACCCCAAAAGGACAGGGTCTGGAGAGCTTTCAGGCTGGTGAACACATAGAGATTTGAGGAGAGTGGCACACTTGGAAAGAGCATCATGGGAGCTCCATGCCCTTTCTCCAAACCTTGCCCTCTATACATCTCTTCCATCTAGATGTTCATCTGTATCCTTTATCATACCCTTTTATAATAAACCAGTAACCTAGTAAGTAAACTGTTTCTCTGAGTTTCGTGAGGCGTTCCAGCAAACTAATCAAACCCAAGGCGGGGGGTCGTGGGAACCTCTGATTTATAGCCAATTGGTCACAAGTACAGGTTAACAACCTGGGCTTGTGACTGGCATCTGAAGTGGAGGGAGGTCTTGTGGGGCTGAGCCCTTCACATGTGGAATCTGATTCTCCCTCTGGGTAGACAGTGTCAGAACTGAGCTTAATTCTCGGACACCCTGCTGGTGTCTGAGAATTGCCTGTTGGTATGAGGAAGCTCCCCACCACACAGACACTCAGACACACACACACACACAGACACACAGACAGACAGAAACACACACACAGACACACACACACACACACACACGCTGGAACCGAGCCTGGGAACCCTTTCCACCAGAGGAAGAAAAATAACACTAATACAACCTTAAAAATTTACTTCCTTGAGAAAAACCATCCATATACATGATCTTTTTTTTTTTTTTTGCGGTACGTGGGCCTCTCACTGTTGTGGCCTCTCCCGCTGCGGAGCACGGGCTCTGGACACGCAGGCTCAGAGGCCATGGCTCACGGGCCCAGCCGCTCTGCGGCATGTGGGATCCTCCTGGACCGGGGCACGAACCCGTGTCCCCTGCATCGGCAGGCGGACTCTCAACCACTGCGCCACCAGGGAAGCCCCATATACGTGATTTTTAATACCAATACCAAAGTAAATTGAAAAGAACATTTTAAAATGTGATAAGCCTATACACTGCTAATTTTGGTTAAAATGAAAAAAGTGTTAATGAAACCAAATAAACAAATATCAATACATTCTGACATGTTTAACACCACGCAAGTTTTAGATATTTCTACAGTTATATCTGACACTCTGGAGTGGACACCTATACATAACACTGTATACAGCTTTCCAGTAAGGGGGCCAAAATACAATTGCCATCAATAAACAACTGCCACAAATATTAATTTTCAACAGTTATGAGAAAGGGGGAAACATTAGATCAAATATAACAATATTTTTGTAGACCACATGCAAGAAAAAGTTAATTCTAATGTACTGCCTACGTTTTAAGAATCATATATATTTTTAGACCATCAAAATCTTGCTCAGTAATAAGACTACAATCCTCATGACTTCATTTCAACATGCTTCTTGATAATGAGATTCTGGTTAAGCTCGTAAGTCAGTGATTCTCAACAGGGTATACCACTACATACTGCGGGCCCCCCCAAAGCTTGGGAGCAATGGAGATGTTACTAATTCATATGTTCTCTATAATGCCACTGCCATGGGGCAAACTGAACATTTCAGCATAAAAATTCCAGTTTCAACGTGTACTTGTTATATGAGCAGTAAAACGTTGGACGTTGGACGTCCCCAACTTCCTCTCATCACATAAGATAATGTGACCTATGTGAAACTTATACCCAACAGTCATGTAAAAGATACTTACTTAATACCGTGGAAGCTTTAGCTTTACCCTTCTCAATACTGAATCTTCCTCATTCCCATTTTACCAGGTACAAGGCTGAGGTTGAGATTTTTTTATTTCAATTTCAAATGGGAAAGTCTCACATTTTATACTTAGTATAAATTTTATGCACATTATACATTTTATACTTAGTGTATGTACTTTGGAGATGATTTTTTAAGTATATGTGCTGCCAGAGCAAACACTAAGATAGTTTTCTTAAATGCCTAACATCGATAAACCATAATATACCATATCTAATGAAATCTGGAGAGCAAAAGACAGGTAGAAAGGGAGAAGTAAAGAATACTTTTCAGAGACTTCCCCAACGGTCCAGTGGTTAAGACTCCGCCTTCCACTGCAGGGGGCGCGGGTTCGATCCCTGATCCGGGAACTAGATCCCACATGCCACACAGTGTGGCCAAAAAAACCAAAAAAAAAAAGATTAATTTTCAATACTTGTGGACTTCCGTTAACCCAACACAATGTAAACAACTAAAAGTTTTTAACATATTTCAAGGATATTTACAAATCAGGATATGACTACCCAATAAAGACAGAGCCATAATCTTTCTACAACAGCTGAGAACCATATTATGCAGTGAACAGTCAAAAATATTTGCTGATAGGAAAGACAGAATCCACATTACCAAGAACCAATTACAATCAATCCTTGGCCCTAAGAACCTAGAAACTCTGGAGTATGTGGGAATGAGGATTTAATGACAAAGAAACTGTTTTATAAATGAAATAAGACCAAATTTAATATCGGTCCTACTGGGAGAAGTTTTTGTTCAGCTGTAAGAATGCAAAGAGGTACAAGGATGGTTATCCTAAAGAAGTAGATATAGGTAAAGAAATAAAGGCAGCACCAAGAAGACACAATAGTCACAAAGACAAGAAATAATAGCCATAAAGACAAAGATATATTGATTGGTCTAACGTGTGTGTCAAGGGGAGAAAATAATTCAAAGCAAGAGTTCTTATCATACGATACACTAACTTGAAGAAACAGTGACCCCAAAAGAGGTTAAAAATCACTGCAGTGTAGTTCATTACCATCTATAAATTTACATGTACTATAACACCACCTTGTAGTTAGCATTTACATATTACGCTACTGCCTGCAAAAATAATTTTAAGTGTGTTCCAAAAGGCATACAGGTAATTAAAGGACAATCACACCTAGATACAAAAGATCACATAATGTAAGATTCCATTTATATGGAACATTTAGAATAGGTATATCCACTGAAACAGAAAGCAGACTGGTGATTACCAGGGACTTGGGGGAGGAGAAAATGTGGAGTAACTGTTTAAATGGGTATAGAGTTTCCTTTGGGGTGATGAAAATGTTTCAGAACTAGACAGAGGTGGTGGTTGTACAACACTGTGGATACACTAAATGCCACTGAACTGTTCATTTTCAAAATGATGAATTTTATGTTATGTGAATTTGACCTCAATTTTTAAAAATTCATAATAAATAAAACCCTTTTGTAGCTCCTGGTTTAAAAAAAAAAAAAAAGACATTCACACCATCTGTGGTACCTCAATTTGGGGAGAGAAAAAAATCAATGGGATGTAATGGAACAGCACAGATGGCTGAAGACAGCTCAGTGTGCTTTCATCCCTCGTCCTCAGGACAGGAGAACACTGGAGCTAACAGTTACTAAGTGCCTGCTGTGTCTGGTGTTCAAAAGGGCTCATCAGCTGGGACTTTTTTTTTTTTTTTGGCCAGGACAAAACTAAAATTAAAAAACTGAGATTTCTTGAAATCTACTCTTAGCACTTGCAGGTTCATATAGTTATGTATTCCATATTCTTGGGGCTATATTCAGGGTGATAAACAAAAGAAATTAGTACTGAAAAAATATATATACACAGCTAAGCCATGTTGAAGGCTTAGCTGTTGTTCCACACAGATTTAACTTTAGTAGTTACTCAAAATTTTCTTTACAAAACAATGTCAAAGTAAGCACCCCATCCAAATAATTTAAATCACATAATTCAAATAGCTATAACCTATTCAAAAAAAAAGAGAGGGGGAGGGAAAAAAATACAGAGGAGTCAAGCAACTGCTTCTATGAAGTACATCACAAATAACTAACTCACAAGGTCAATAACTGGAGGAAACCTTACTCTCTCAACACGTCTCTGTCCCTGAACAGCTCTGAGCCAGAGACTGAGACCAATATCCAGAATTTCCTTAGGAAAGCACTAAAACACAAAACACACAAATCATAATTTGAACTATGCAATCAGCTGGCCACGTGAAATCAGTTCCATAAAGTTTGCAAATATTCACTACATGACATTCATGTTAAATTAACATCAGTATTTTCAAGGTCAATATTATGTTTGTTCAACTTCTTGGAGTCACACATTTTTGTGATATTTTTAACATCTGACTAAAGCTTGTATCATCACAAGACGCTCACACTGTTTACAAACGCTCTGAAGCAGCAGCTGGTGTTCCTCAGTCACATCTTGTTACAATAAATAGACTAGCAGTTTTAAACTCCAGGTATACGGTTTACTACTGATATGTAAAAATCTTTGCTATAACTTAAAAGTTTTTCTAATGATGGAAAGACACATGCACAATGAAATGGGAGGCAATTTAAGACAACGTTATGACAAGATCACAAATACAGAGATTCTTATGCATGCATACTGGGAGTATAGCTATCATGCTGAATGAACTAAATACTAAATAATACTGACCTTCCTTATATCTTTCATGTCATTTTTAATACCTTTTCCCATCCCATTCAAGAAATGAAGAAACTTACCCACACAAGCATTGAGGAATAGCCAATCAGTCTTTTTCATCCTGTTTTTAATTTGCTTTAGTTTTTTGAAGTCCACTTCAAGTTCCTCCTTGCTGCCAACAGCACCAGCCAACTCAATCCTCTGAAAATCCATTTTCATCTCAGAGTCCCGTTTCGTAGCTGGCGGTGATCTTCTTTGGCTGTTGCCACTGCTACAGCTTCCTCTCCATCGAGCTCTGTCTTGCTCATTTATTATTGAAGAAGCCTCTTCCGTCTCTGCCAACTCGATTGCTTCAATATTATTAGGTCTGGGATGATCACAAACAACACATTTTTTAGCTTTGGCCCAGTTTTCATATGTGCAAATAGAACAAGTCCAATGCTGGGTCCTTGTGTTCAGTTTATTTCTATCATTGTATTCCTCGCAAGGGTCAACAGAAAAAGCAACTGGTCTTGAGCCAGATCCTGAGGATTGAGGAGATTCTGTGGGACTCCTGGTCCTACGCTGGGATAAACACTGAGTGCATCTGATTGCTCTTGGCCAGTTCAAATATGTGCACATGTGGCATGACCATTTATTCGCATTTTCCATGCTGTACGAAGACTTAACCCTTGGTCTTGCACTAGAGTCTGGACATATCAAAGGACTACTTCCTCCTTCGGTGCCGGAAGGATCCCAGTCTCTACCGACATCACTTGAACCACTTTTAAATGGATCTTCTGTAATAATTGTTCCACTAGGTCTTTGGGCACGACACATAGTACACTTGATTGCAGATGGCCAGTTTTCATACGTACAGTATTCACAAGCCCACTTAATTCCACGTTCTGACATTGTGCACTTCTTGAAGTGAGTTATGTCAGGCAGGAAGCTATAAATAATTAGGACATGGTTATTAAAACAATAACTACATAATCCCACCCCTGAAAACATGCCCAAAATATAAAAGTACCCTTCAACTTATAAAACCTCAATTTCTCAAAAGATGCATGTAACATTTCACACTCAACTACCTTTTCTTAAAATTTCAAGAGAGATACTGGACATAAGTTCCCAAAGAAAAATCGTAGACCTGGGGATTTAATGAAACTGTACTTTGGAATGCAAGAGAAAAGGCAGAAGATAAAGGGAGGTTTATTCTAAGAAGGAATGAGGTTAAATCAGGAATCCTCTAACAGAAATGTTTAATCTCAGCCAGGTCATCACCATCAATTTAGAAAAATAACCAATAGTTAAAAGATTCAAAGGCAAGGGACAGAACACAAACCAAGTGTCTTAAACACATAACCATTCTCAAATTATGAGCAACATAGATTATTATGCTATCTAGGTACAGTACCACAATGTTTGATTCACTAAAGAATTCAGAAAATCAGTCAATTCTATCATTCTTGCTAAGGGAGAAAAGCAGCCTAAACGTGCTAATTATCCACTGCTCTTAATAAGCACAGGTAGGAAAGAAAGATGTTAAGTAGTAATCCTTACAATTAACCAAGTAACACTGTGAAACAGAGATAAAGTTCCTTGATAGCCTATATCCTCAAAATCTTGTTCTGTCTAGAGTGCAGAACATAAAAACTGCACATCACTTATACTTGGGACAATCAACTGATGAAACACCCCTGACATAACAACTAGCATAATCGCTCCAATATAATTTTGAATATTTATACTCAAAATATTCAATATTTAAAATATACTCAAAATTCAATTCATATTAAAAACATATTAACTATTTAAAAGGCTCCTAGGATTCTACACTGGGCTTCCTAACACTGCAATACAATGAAGACTATTATTTAATGACAATCATTTATAAATGAAGCAACTTGCACAGCAAATGTAATAATAATTTTTTTAAATGGCTTGAATTTAGACACTGGCCACTGAAGCCAGCCTCTCCATTTTCTTAAATCCCTTCTCAACTAAATTAGTATCATCCTGCCACCTATTTGTAACCAGAAAAGCGAAAGAAATTCTAGGCAGAGTAATAGAAGCTTCTCCTTCTCATTCTCAGGGATTTTTCCTGAACCTGGAAAGCAAAATCTTTCACTTTATAAGTGTAGTATTATGTCCCTGCTTGCCAAGTCCTCACCCCTTTTATAGTGTAAACTTGGTTAAGAGAACAAATTCACTGTTAAGAGAGGCTACTATTTAATAGCTAAAATAAAAATCACACTTACTAAGATTTTAGTTTCCATGCTATAGCCTCCACCTTGCACATGGTCAGAATAAAAGTACAGCTTATAAATCAGACCAAAGACAAGATTCAGTCGTCATGGTGGCTCAGATTCTGACTTCCTCAGGAGATACTGCAAAAACGTGATAAGTGGTTCTGTATGACTGTGAATAGCTATTCCTGTAAAGGAGACCAAAACTGAATTTCACTTGAAGCCTGTTACTTTATCCAAAAGTATTTATTTTTTTAAAGGCTTTATTTTAATAAATTCTCTATTTTAATCCTACTCATTTATTTTAATAATGGACTACTATATTCAGAATTTTAATTTAACACAGCAATAAAATCAGCTGATTGGGCTGGTCAGTCAAATCAGACATAGGAAAGATACTTTCCCCTAAAACCTTAAACACGTGTGTGCACTATTATTATCATTAATCTTAAATTGGTAGTCCTAATAAATTAATTCCTACTGAATTACTTGTTATTATTGAAGGGGGAAAGGGGGCATAAACCAAGTATATAGAAAAAGCAAAAATATATAGCTTATATTTAACTTTGAAATCTTTTTCTCCTTCAGCAACTTTATTTTCCTCTAACCCAGGTAATTTATATTTATCTGCTTAGATTTTTCACTTTAGCTTGTACATACTGATTAAACACAATCTGACAGCAATCTGAAAGTGTGTTGAAGGGCAAAGACTATAATCATAAAAGCATCCATAAAATGGACAATTGAGATTTAATGGCAACTTTCATATTCATTAGGCAGTTTCTTTCTTTGGTTTCTCAGGAATTAAATATAAATAAATTACTTGCTCATGCTATTGTAAACTAAAATGAGCAAGCAGAAACTTATGACAAAAACAAATGACATAATGAACATATCCAAGGCTATAAGTAATTTCAGTATTTCATTTAAAATATTCACATTCAAAAATTCATGCTTGCTTTGTTAAGTCTTACTTTGATGTAGGCTCAACTAAATAGTTTGTGGCCTTACATTAACCAATCTTCATGGAATTAATGTGCCAGCATAACATACTTAAATGTCCATGTCTGACAAGAAACAAAAAAAGAATAAAGAATCACTGTCATATATGCCTGGTAAATAGGCTACCCCTCCCCAAAATTCAGGGAACTACGCAATACCAAAACCAAGCTCAAGAGTTTTGGGACTTCCCTGGTGGTCCACTGGTTAAGACCATGCGCTTCCAATGCAGGGGGCACGGGTTCGATCTCTGGTGGGGGAACTAAGATCACACATGCTGCGTGGTGCGGCCAAAAAATTAAAAAAGAGTTTTAAGATAAGTGCATTATATTAGATAACAATGCACATGGTACCAACTCTGGGGAATTAAGATGTTGTCTTAGGATTATTGTTTTTTCATAACCAAAAGCTAAAATTCATTGGAGAGGATTATCTGATAGAGTCATCTGTACCTGTGGTAACAGTAAATGGAATGGAAGAGTAAAGATAACATCAGTCCAACTATGTGATTTTGCATTATTGAGGTGAAATTAACACTGAGTACACTTTTTCTACCAGATGTCAAAAAGAACATGAAATAATTTTTAATAGCAGACAGCTTTGAGAGTTAATACTGTGCATTGAAATAAAACAATTACTAAATATCTTTCAAGTTAACATATATTCATATACCCAAGTAAATTTAATTTACAAGTCTACTTCTGCATAAAATACAGATTTCCAAATTCTAGCCAGTGAATCATACTTCAATTAATCGGTACACAAAGCAACAATAAAATCTGTATAATGTGGATTTTCTTTAAGCAGAGCTAGACACAAGCGCTACTCTTAAAACAAATATTCCTTGGTTCAAATGCAGTATCAGCAGTTCGCATCTTGTGGACCAAAGAGTCCATGAATCTATTTATACATCAACCTCTACCTGTAGACAGACTGAATAATGTCTCCAAGTATAGCAACCATTTTCTAGTATTAAATTCATAACTGCTTTTGATTATATACTTCCCAGTTCAAACAATAATAAAAGCATGAGCATTGTGATGTACGGGTTAATGGCTAGGGAAAGGGAGGGGCTCATAACTGAACATTTTTTATACTGTCATGCTTAGTAGTGAATTAATTAGACCATATTTGTGAAGCATTACTAAACAATGTAGAATAAATATACCTATTTTGAAGTCAATTACTCAAAATTGTAGCTACACTACAAATTCCCCCAACCACCTACTAAAACCCCATGAGAGAGAACTAGAGAAGTGAAATGATCCTCACCAAGCACAGACTCCTTGAGAAACAAACTGAGAGAAGTTCGGTTGTCAGTTAGTGTCAAATGATGAGCAGTTATCCAAAGGAAGGACTGACAGTCTTTCGGTTTTATATTAGCTTTATTAATATTAAGTCTATATTTAGTAATATATTAATTTATTAATATAAATTGTTGATATAAATATTAATTAACATACATCTGTGAAGACTTAAAAATGCTCAGAAAGCATTTTAGGGGACTAAAGATGAAAGCTAAAACTAGAAGCGGGACTTCCCTGGTGGCACAGTGGTTAAGAATCCGCCTGCCAATGCAAGGGACACGGGTTCGAGCCCTGGTCCGGGAAGATCCCACATGCTGCAGAGCAACTAAGCCCGTGCCCCACAACTACTGAGCCTGCGCTCTAGAGCCCGTGAGCCATAACTACTGAGCCCACGTGCCACAACTACTGAAGCCCACACGCCTACAGCCCGTGCTCCGCAAGGAGAGAAGCCACCGCAATGAGAAGCCCATGCACCGCGACGAAGAGTAGCCCCCGCTGGCCGCAACTAGAGAAGGCCCACGTGCAGCAACAAAGACCCAATGCAGCCAAAAATAAATAAATAAAATAAATAAATTTATTTTTTTAAAAAAGAGCTAAAACTAGAAGCACTGGTGAACCCTCCATCTACAAATCTCACCTCATTTCCGGGCTCCAATATCTTGTCACATCCTATATTAAAATCCTCTTATCTTCCTCTCACAACAAACCCCTAGCCTGACTTCTCTCTCCAGTTTCCGTTAAGGACATCACTAATACTACTGCACCCAGCATAGAAACTCAGACTTATCTTGAATTCTGCCTTCTCCCCATAGATTCTTTCTAGTGGTTTCTGTCCAAACAGTCCTTTCCTTTCCATTTCAGCTGCCATCAACGCTTTCGCAGTTCAGGTCAGAACTACTATAATAGCCTCCTAAGCGCCTTCCCTTTCTAAATCCATCCAGCTCACTGTTACCAAAATAATCCTCCCAATAACAAGTCCCTCTTTCTGAAGCTCTTCTGTAACAGTATAAACTCTCAACTCCTTACCAGAATACAAACACACCACACACACCCCAGACTCATTCAGGTACCACCATCCCTCCACAATACACACGTGAAGGCACTACCTTAGAAAAACAAGCACAACAGACACACACTCAGTTCTGGCTAATCCTACCCATCCTTTAAGGTTCAGTTCTAATCTCATCTCTCTCATAAAGTTTTTTCAAATCATTTCAAGTACACTCCAAGCAACCACACTTCTATCGACATTTGGCACCTACTGTATGTCTTCCTGGGGCTAGTTCCTGGAACACTGACTTGTGTGTCTTCCCCATATCATTTCCTCCCCTCAATTTTCAATCAGATAGCCAAGCTTTCAAAAACTTTGGCTCAAGGATTTCCCTGGTGGCACAGTGGTTGAGAATCAGCCTGCCAATGCAGGGGAAAACAGGTTCGAGCCCTGGTCCGGGAAGATTCCACGTGCCGCGGAGCAACTAAGCCCGTGCGCCACAACTACTGAGCCCAACACACCACAACGACTGAAGGCCACGCACCTACAGGCCGCATGCCTACAGCCCGTGCTCCGCAACAAGAGAAGCCACCGCAATGAGAAGTCTACACACCGCAACGAAGAGTAGCCCCCACTCGCCACAACTAGAGAAAGTTCATGTGCAGCAACGAAGACCCAACAGCCATAAATAAATAAATACACACATACATACATACATACATATCTACTTTGGCTCAGG